ACCAGTACCGACTCTCCCTTTACATTTTTGACAAAACAAATTCTAGTATGCTATTTTCGTATCGATACTCCATAAGTATCAATACTTTAGGTGTAGTACCGATACTTTTCTATTCTCAACGGTTTAAATTTTGTAATTAATGCATGCAGTATCGATACTCCAAGCCTGAGTACCGGTACTCAAGGAGTCTAGGTAACATTTATTGCGGGAAAAATTCATCCCAACGACTTTATTAAATACCACAACAACCCAAGCGGCTAGAATTGAATAAAGGGGTATAAAAATAAGATTTCAAGTCATATGTGAAGACAAGAGAATATAGAGAAAGCAAAAGCAACCAAATTGAGCTAAAAATCAAGTCAACATTCTTGAATATTCTTTTTTCTTTAAAAGAACACTTGTGTACTCCTTTTTTTATTTTTTAAGTGTTATTTTTGTTCTTGAATTATGCAAACACATTCCTAGTGAGGGTTTTTCTAAGTTTGCTATTTGTAATTTCTTCTTATGAATGGTAACTTTAGACTTTGGGGTATAAGTCTAAGTGTGTTGTAAGGTTACACTTTATCCTAAAAGTGTGGTAGATAAGGTTATAGATGTAAACTTCATTGAAGAAGTTGAACCACTCTAAAATTGCTTGTGCCCAATTTTTCATTTTCTTGTAGAAAGCTTCCATCAATTTTTTATTCACCAATTTACCCCATCTTGGTTATTCAAAATGTTCGATTGACTCAACAATTTCATTCAACATTTGATCAAGTTGCTAGTGTGATTCTATAATCATCACCTCTCACTACTTTATCTATTCCAACTTCCATAGGGGTGTTCATTCGGTTAAAACGGTGGCCGACCGAACCGAATTATCATTAACTGAATTAACTGAACTTTTTTCTTTAACCGTTAACCGAACAAAATTTTTTTTAAAAAAATATTAACTGAACCGAATAAATTTCGATTAATTCGGTTAATTTTTGAATTAACCGAATTTTTTTTAAAATTTCTAAATTATATAAAAATTGAATATTTTTTAATAGAAAAAATAATTTACAATTAATTTAAATAATATATAATTATAAATTAAAAATTTTATATGGATTTTTTAATTAATTAATATTGATTTAGGTTTAAAAGTTATTGAATCCTAAATTATTAATTGGATTTTAAATAGTTTGGGTTGAGCTCATATGTTATATATAATATATTTAATATTTAAAGGTTAATTTGGTTAATTAACCGATTTTGAACCGAATTAACCGTTAACCAAATTCCAAAAAAATGTTTAACCGTTCTTCGACCGAACTAATTTGGTGGCCGACCGAATTAACTGAACTAATTCGATTCAGTCGGTTAATTCGATCGACCACCGAAATTTAAACACCCCTAACACCACCATCTTCATTCATTCCACCACCATCTTCATTACCATAATCATCTGTAACACTTCCATCATCATTATCATCACTATTTGCTTCTCCATCATTATTATATGTTCCACCACTTTCACAATCTGTTCCACCGTTAACTCCAACACTTTCATCACCATCACAATCACCATCATCATCTATTCCAGCTCCATCCTCACTCATTCCATCTCCATTTTTTTTCTCGTTCTCCTGCTGTTCAAAATGATCATCATATGTCACTAGAGGGAAAACAAGTATTTTTTAAGCCTAGATTACCATCTTCATTCATTCCACCTTTAGTGTCTGGATCTACGAGGGGAAGAGTTGGAGTTGTTTCTCTGCAAGAGGTTCAGAAAGAATGAGAACCAGAAGAATGATAGAGTACTATGTTTTAGTAACTAGTTTGTTGTAACTAAAATTAGTTGAGTTTGTTGTAACTAAAGTTAGTTTAGTTTATTGTAACGGCCTTGGGCCGTGCCTAGTCTGTATTACTTTAAATAGACTTGGTTGTATTGCCGGGCCTTCATAGTTTTGATCCAATGATATGAAATCATTATTTTTTTCAACCGTTACTAATTCAGTTTCTTCTCATTTTTCCTTTCTCATTCACAATCTCTAAACCCTAATCTATTATTTTCTTGCATCACTGATCTATGTTAGTAACAGTAACCCCTAATTATATAAGAACCAATATAAAAAAAAATTCAATGTGTAAAATTGACAATAAGTGATAAATAATACTTGAAGGCATTAAAAATTTAAACGTTTCTGTAAACTATACCCTGATTATTAATTATCTTAGAAAATAATAAATGAAGATCACGTTCATATCGACCAAGATTTGGTCTTTGGTATTGAAAACTGATATTTTAATAATATATATATATATAGTCTGGTTGCATTTATGCCAACAATATCGACGGTCAGAGATTGTTTCGTTCCGAAACTTCACAATCCAGCTACTCCAACAATTGCCAACAAGCACTGACACGTCGACAGCTGTGAGCCCTTTTTTTATATAACATTCTGTTCCGTTTTCGCTATCCCGAGGGTAGACACAAATTGATATATTAAAGAGTAAGAATCTAATCAGAACATTAGATTAATATAAAAAAGTTAAATTCCAATATTATAAATATAATAAATTAAACAAAAATGAGTTTATAATATTTAATTTAAATTAATTAATCAGTAAATAAAATAAATTGATTATAGAAAAAATGTGACAACCTAAAATTTACTTGATTATGCCCCAGGTGTTTTTACATGAACTGCTGATAGAACATGGCGTTAGATCAAATTTTATAATATTATTCTGTTTACGAGTAATGCCTTTTTTTTATTTATCATTTGAAATAAACGTTCAAATATCTTATAATTATTGATGTTCGTTTTTGAAATTTTTAGAGATATCAATCTTCACTTTAACCATTAAGATAATTTAGTTCGGTACGAATAACTTCAAAAATCCTATGACTATAGTGTATTGTTTTGTTGAGTCCTTCAACTGTTAAAAATTACAAAGTGATCATCCAACTATAGGTGTTGCTTTGTTGAGTTTCTCTACTATTAAAAGTTACAAAATAATTATATGACTATTTTTATGTTCCAAAGTCGTCTTTTTCTATTAAAAAATCGATAGTTGTCTGAGCTTGAAGTTAATATGATGATTGTAATATGATAGACATTTGAAATTATGAGATTAGATTTTATTATATTCATATCAACATATTAATGTCAAACTCATATTGTTGTCAACTTTTTAACAAAAATGACATATTTGAAACACATAAATAAGCAGGCACTCTCGCATATGTATTAAGGTGTGTCAACTAACACCCAAAAATTTTAAAACTTTCATTTTTACCCATATATATATATATATATATATATATATATATATATATATATATATATATATAAAAGAAAAATACACTCATTTAGAAATATTTTGACACCCTTTAAAAAAGACATCGACTATTTAACAATAAAATTTTTAAAATTCAATGTTCCCAACTTAAAAAAAATTATATAATTTTTAAATTTGACATCAAATTTTTTTTAACTCTACCCAGTAATTAGGTAATTATGTGACTATTTTATAGCTTTTGATAATTAAGTGATTCAATAAAATAGTGTAATGTGGTAAGGATATCTATGTTCTTTACTTTTTTTAAAAAAATGGAATAAGGTTGTCTTGATAAAAATATCTTTTATAATCAAATCATGGATAGTGGAAGGAGTAGCGGGAGTTATCATCATGGGCGTACAACATTTCATGATGACCAACACGTGTCGGGAGGTACAGGATGGTTCACATATAGTTAAACCTACTTAAAGAATCTTAATCTCAGGGATAAACAAAATTACATTCGATTTATGAATCATATCAAATCTTCATTTTTTTAAAATCAAATCATAATATTGAATTGACATTGTTGAGCATTGAGAGTGTATAAAATACGTATATTTTTTTTGGATTTACCTATATATGTAAATAAATTATAAAAAACAATTCAAATAATATATTTAGGAATAAAATTTTATTACATTTAATTTTAGAAAAATAAATTAAAATGAGAATAGAAAATAAGTCTTATTAAGTTAGTTAACTAAAGAAAATTCACTCACATGACACAGATACTCACCCCAATTCACAAGGTAGTAGTTAAATTTAGATTTTAATTTTAAAAGTGAGTGTAAATTTTGTTATTTGAAAAAAAAAACATATTATAGAAACTTGTAATCAGAATCTTGATATTTAGAAAAGCACTTCCATTACTTTTATTCATTATTTAATTTTTAAAAACAAGGCAGGTAAGTGAGAATTCATTTGCAATTTTTTTCTAATCGGTATTTTGTTTTCCATTATATAATTTCAATAGTTTTTTGAAAGCTTCAGAAAATATTCTGCGTACAAAATGAAAAATAGGCTTCAATAAACCTACAGTATCGTCATGTGGGGCTAATTTGCATAGGATGGAATTAGAGGTTAAACCAATCTTTAAGCGCTGATTAGTTCTTTGAGTGCAGCCGACAGATAAACGTCAGCAAGTTAGAACCGGTTCCAATGCACCCGTAGCGGCGTTGGTGGGATAACATAAATTATCAATTTTTGTTTATATTAATACCTAATTTTTTTTTAAAATTATACTTAACGTTTAGTTTTTGTTTCATTTTAATATCTTATCTTTAAAAATTTAACACATTTAATATCTAACTATTAATTTTGTTCCGTTTTAGTATCTAAATTTTTATTTTTTTCAAAACTAATGTAACTTTTGAACGAGATACTAAACTGAAACAAAAAATAAATATTAGATATGAATTTAAAAAAATTAAAAGTTTAAGTACTAAAATAAACCAAAACTGATAGTTTAAGTAATAAATGCAAAGTTTATCCTTTAAAATAGAATAATAACAAGTTAAGATTTGTATATAATATAGTAAAAGTGTATATTTTTATATAATATTAATAAATTAAATAATACTTTATTAATAATGTATTTTGTATTTTCAAAAGGTTTAGGATGTCCAATGTCTTTCCCCCTCTATATAAATAGGTGGTAGAGTGGTTGGTTTACGCTCCAAAATCGAAAAGCCAGCGCTCCTTCATTTCCCCTGAGCTTTAGTTTATTCTAGTATCCAACACCATGAGCAGTAATATAGAGAGTGTGTGGGTCTTTGCACTTGTATCCAAATGCCAAGCTTTTTCACAAGAAATTATTGCATGGTCACTTTTTATCATCGCTCTTGTCTGGCTAGTTATAATCTTAGTGTACTGGGCTCACCCCGGTGGTCCAGCTTGGGGAAAACATAGGTTCAAAAAATGTTCCTCTCTTTTCGTTGCGAACAAGCCAATTCCGATTCCAATTCCAGGGCCAAGAGGGTTTCCTATAATTGGCAGCATGAATCTTATGGCCAGCTCCCTGGCTCACCACCTGATTGCATCCGCTGCCGAGACATGCAAAGCCAAGAAGCTCATGGCCTTTAGCCTCGGTGATACTCGTGTTATCGTCACCTGCAATTCCGATGTAGCACGAGAGATTCTTAACAGCTCTGTATTTGCTGATCGTCCCGTCAAAGAGTCGGCTCATAGCTTGATGTTCAACAGAGCAATTGGGTTCGCTCCTTATGGAGTTTACTGGCGAACACTGAGAAGAATCGCAGCAACTCACCTTTTCTGCCCTAAGCAGATTAAAGGTGCAGAGGAGCAGAGACACATCATTGCCTCTGAAATGGTCACGTTATTCGCTCACAATAGCCGAAGCTTCCGCGTACGCGAACTGCTCAAGCGAGCTTCTTTAAACAATATGATGATTTCGATATTCGGACAAAACTATAAGATGGATTCCAAAAATAAACAAGTTGAACAACTCCAGGCACTAGTCGATGAAGGCTACGAATTGCTCGGCACATTTAATTGGTCCGACCATCTTTCGTGGCTGGCAGATTTTGATCCTCAGAAGATTAGAGTCCGATGCTCCAACCTCGTACCTAAAGTTAACTGCTTCGTCAACCGAATCATAGCCGAACACAGAGGCCAAGCTCGAGTAAACGTAAAAACTAGAGATTTCGTCGACGTTTTACTCTCTCTCCAAGGTGCCGATAAATTATCAGACTCCGATATGGTCGCCGTTCTATGGGTAAGCTATCGGATACTTCTTACTGTTACTATTACTCAAATGCAGGATTTTAAATAGTTGTTCACGACTGTGATAGCGTACGCGAAATAATAATATCGTTATCTTTTGATATTCTCATTATACCCGTAATAACGTCCGCTACGACTGCAATAACACCCGCTAACGGTAAACGTGACATGACCAAAAACACGATCACGATCGTAATTTGAATCCTACTCATATGTTCTAACATTTTTTTTTTGTAAAAAATGAAGTGTATTAAACGACAAATCCGAGTTCTATTTCTGGTACTGAGTTTGAGTGTATTAAACACTGTCGTTTGCTTTTTTTATATAGGAGATGATATTCAGGGGAAGTGATACTGTGGCGGTACTGATGGAGTGGATTCTAGCTAGAGTTGTGCTTCATCCTGACGTTCTATCAAGGGTGCATGATGAGCTCGACAAGGTCGTTGGCAGATCACGAGCCGTTGACGAGTCTGATTTAACGAACATGATTTATCTTCCAGCTGTGATCAAAGAGGTTTTGAGGCTTCACCCGCCAGGCCCACTACTTTCCTGGGCTCGTCTAGCCATCACCGATACAACCATTGACGGGTTTCACGTGCCCAAGGGGACAACGGCAATGGTGAACATGTGGGCCATCACGAGGGACCCAAACGAGTGGGCGGACCCACTTGAATTTATGCCCGAAAGATTTGTGACGAAGGAAGGTGATGTGGAGTTTTCCGTGCTCGGTTCGGACCTTAGACTGGCTCCATTCGGGTCGGGCAGGCGAGCATGTCCGGGAAAGACCTTGGGGTTGACCACCATCACCTTTTGGGTGGCGTCTCTTCTGCACGAGTTTGAATGGCTACCGTCGGATCAAAATCCGGTCGACTTATCCGAGGTTCTAAGGCTTTCATGTGAGATGGCCAATCCTTTGTGTGTCAATGTTCGCCCCAGGCGTACGTTAAGCTTATCTCATTAAGGTTATTAACCGCATTTGTGTTCTGGAAAATGATGTTTTAAAGACAGCGAAATAAATGGGAGTCAAAGACAGAGAATACTACTTGTAGCAGTTAAAATGCAGAAGGTTCATAATATCCAACCCTTGTGTCTCAAGTTCTTCATTTTCATATATGTTTTAACCGCTGTAAATACGAGTGACAGTAATACAAGTTCCCATGTCTTTTACTTCGTAGTTAAACAATACTACGGTGATGGTATTTTCAATTTACAGATATAATCTTAAGATCGCACTTCCTTTTTGTTAAGAATATTTAAATTTGGTTAAATTCATGTACACGTATAAGTTACATTGTTCGAATTTATATCATATAAAAAAATAACATTATCTTTTATCATTAAAACCATTTATTAAATTTATAAAAATTACCCTTTAAACTCGTATAAAAAAATCTTTAAAAGGCTACATCATCTCTGTTGCTATATTTGATATATTCTCGAGTGCACTTGGAGGATATCGATCAATCTATAGTTTAGAAGAAAGGTGGAGATGTTAAACTAGGAGCCACCACGTATAGACCATTTTCATGTAATGTAATCCAAATACTTGAGAAAATGATAAATAATAAGACAAAACCCTGTATTACATCGACAAACATGTCATTATTGATTGAGACTTTGAACAAATCCAAGAAGGATGCAAAAGCACGGTGATGAAACTCTTACCGTATGGTTGTGGAAATATACCACTTTTATCTCAACTCTTTGTGCGGCTCTGCGCGTTCTGTTTTCCGCTTTCAGGTTTTCCTTCACATGTTTTAGTTTTTTCTCTTCTTTTACCCTTTTGCTTCTTTCTAAATTACTGATAATTAATACAACAATCAAGGGATTTAAGTTAATCGTAAAAAAACAAAAAAAAAACAAAACAGAGACCGATGCTTTCGCTTTTATGTACAGACTACAAAGGGTCTAAAGAAGGTGGTGGGCAGAGCATTAAGAAAATGACATGGTAGTCGAAATTGGGACAGTGTTGTAAACTAGGTGGTAGTAGTTAATAAAAAACAATATTGTTAATAGGTTTAATGTTGTGTTTAAAATCAATATTTTAAATAGTGATTTCCATTATATATTTGGATCCATTACAGTTTTAGATTTTTAGTGAGAGCCCTAACCATGAAAGATGCTAAAATTTCTTGAATCCAATGAATCTTTTTATGTTTAACGACTACAGGATGATAGAAGAAATAACTCCGGTGATCGGAAACACAACAGAATATCTTCTTAGAATCGAATGGAAACTAATTTTTATTATATGGGTTCAATAAAGGATAACACACTCGACCATAGACCTTAAATAGAGAATAATTAGGTAACTTGTTAAAAGATTTGTAACACATTTGTGAGCTTCTTTGTTTAATCTTGCTCAAGTGTGATATGGGTCAGTGCTTAAGTAGTTGCAAACTCATTTGCCTTTGTGAGGTTTTATTTTATTTGCTAAATTTGTGATCTCTTGTGGAGAGAGTGTGAGCAAAATTTTGAGGTACAAACCTTTTGTGTTGTTGTAAGGCTACAAATTGTCCTTAAAGATTAGCAAATCTAATGGATTTGAGAAATCCTTAGTGTGAGTGCTAAGGTAATGGATGTAGACTTTGGTTTAGAAAGTCGAACCATTTTAAATTTCTTGTACGAAATTTCATTTTTCGGTTGTTTCCACCACAAAGTTTTTAAAAGTCAATTTACCCCTCTCTTGACATTATTCGATGGATCGATAAAGGTAACATATACCTTATAAGAATCAACATGATGTCAAGAAAATATAAAATATAATTATACAAGTTACTTTAATTTAGTTATTTGTTTTGAATTCTAAAAGCTAAGATGATTACAAAATAACATATGTTCTAAATATTCTCAAATCATTTGACAATGAAAGCTCATCCATCTCTGTTGCAGTTGTCGGTGCTTGAACATGAGATCTCTAGAAATAATAATCATTCATTTAACCATTAAGGGAATTTAGTTCATGCTAGTGAGAATTTTTTTAACTTAATATAATTAATTTATAATGAAACCATTAAAAATATAATTAATTATCTACTCATATATATGAATGAAGTTTGTTGACAATAACATGGTATTACATCATCACTATTTAAAAGGCGATAGGTTTGGTATTAGTCAGTAAGAAGAAGAAAATAATTAATTCCTTGTCATCAATGTATAATTTTGTTTAAATCTTTTCCAAGACGATACATCATCCTACTCATTTTTCTTGGCTTCTTGCAGGTTAATAATATATCTATATCTTTCATTTCTAAAAGAGGAGAGAAATCTATATCAGTCTGACATTCACTGTTTGGCTTTTTCATTTTCCTCACTTACCAAAAGTGCAGAGCTGGAGGCATTAATATTATCATTGTATCATGGGTGCTGGATCTTCTTCAATCGAATGATATCGTCATTATTTTGTAATTTTATATTCTTTTAATATATAATATTACTTTTTTTATCATAATCTAAATTTTACAGGTTTTGTATATTTTTTCGATTCTTTATGTATTATTATTTTGTTTATATATATATATATATATAATAAGATCCAATTACACAATGTAAAACTCTTTTAGTTTTACACAGATTTAGAATATTGTATAAGTAAAAATAGATGACTAAAATTAATAATAGAAAACGAGAATATATTTATTAAAAAAGAAATAATGAGTTAATCTTAATCGTTTATTTTTTCTCATTTAATATTTTTAAATTTATATAAAATTAAAAAGCATGTGATTATCAACCCTATAACACACACAAGTTAGGCAAAGCATCTATCTATCTATCTAATGCCGTTTGTCGCATGAGTTTTTGCTTTGATTTTTCGGGTTGGATAATGAAGGCCAACTTCAACAAGACAAATATTTAATTTGTACGACCCTGCATTAGCTGTTGTCGGTTGTGAAAAAAATCTGGTGAGCCAATGGCAGCGATCTGTTAAACAAACTTTAATTTCTCTTGATAAGCTTGATTAAGACCGCTACCTACCGGTTTTCCATGGTCTAATCATTGATTTTGTCAAAAATGAATTATTAAGTAGACTCAATGATTAAAGTAATTGTTATTTTTTTATGAGATTTGGATTCGAGTAATTATATTTCTAGGGATATATTGAAACATGTATAAAACATGGGATTAAGGAGATTCGAAGAAGAAACCAATAAGGGTTGAGGTTTATCGCATATTGGTAAATGAATCAATGAAGCTTCAGGGAACTTGATTGCTGTAGCACTACATCTGTTGTTGCAGCAAAGCTTTGAGTTGAAGTTCCGATATGAGCAAAATTGTGCAGCAGATCGTTTGGCTGCCATGACCAGAGGCAATCCGGTTGGAAAATCCTTTGTTACAAATTCCCCGAGCTGTGTGATGAAATCCACATAAGTAGAACCAAAACACGATTTGACTTTTGTTCGGATTAGGAACAATTCAGCTTTTCCGGTCATGTTCATTTTTTCTTCATTCTCAATTAATTAATCATGGAAGAAATATTTATATTTTTACTTGTTCAATCATTTAAATTGTTATTTTATTGACTTGTACCTGACATTCATTTTAAAACTGTTGACCAAGTCGGAGTTTGAAAGTTGAAATTGAGTTGAGATGTAACAATAATAATAATTTAACATCTCCTCTTTGTCAGTTACTACAACTATGTCGGGCTGACAACAAAGGAAATCTAATGAAAAGCTCCTCGTTTATCATTAATTCTTTTGTTTACAAATGATGTGATTGCCTGGAAAATCAAAACAAAGCAAGTTTTTGGGCATGACGAAAGCATAAAACATTTTAATACAAGTGACATGCACCCAAAGAAAAATGTAAACTCACACCTAATTCATTGCCATTTCCTAATTTATAGTCTTATAAATATATAAACACTAATGACATAAACTAGTAGTAGTACATCTTCATCAAGAAAAAAGATACCATACTAGCAGTAAAAGATGAAAAAAAAAACAAGACATCACATCGTTAACCTAATCATGATTAAATGGCTCAAATAATGCTAACATAGGCATGGATTATCGTTAACTTTCCCATCTTTCTAGTTGGTGAAACTGCTTCTTCACGTACCTGCTTGAGTGCAACATATCCCAGAAATCCCGCTGATTAAATGGCTCAAATAATGCTAACAAACCCTTATAATTTTCTACCTTATGCTTTCCAATTCACTGAAATAGGAAAAGGGATAGTTTCAGAGTAATCAAAATCTGAGAGCATGGTTGCCTTTCTGTATTCTGCAATGAACTAAACGTGGTTCTGCAATTGGTCGGTTAATTGCTCACACGATTTCCCCTGATTATTTTGTTTGTTTTCTACCCAGTAATAAAATAACTGTTCAAGATAGAGAAACAATTGGTGTTCATAATTTTATCCATGTTTTTGCAGTGAAATCAATGTCTTCGTACGAATTAGTTATCTACAAAGAGGAGAGACACAGATTTGTACCCTTTTGCTTATTTGAGAGAGAGATTGGGTTAATTTTCTATTAGTTTCGAGTTTAGATTGATTTTGCCACCTCTGCAGAAGAAGATAAGGTGGACCTTTTACTACTGATTCCGAAATGGCTAGTTCGAAAGGGGTGTTTCCTATGCTCGGGTTTGAGGATTAGAACTTAGAAGTTTTTTTTTTTTATTAATTCGAGTGAGTATAAGGTAATATATGTTTAAAGATAACTCTCAATCTTTTTACATTAAATGCTCATACTCCTTACATCTATAGTACTCGAACACAAATTCTCAATGAATAACAACAATTATTTTATTATGTCACTTAGTTCATGCTAGAATTTAAAAATTAGATTTCTGGCTCACTCAAAAGTCCTAATTGTGTCTACAAATTTCAATGGTCTGATCCATTTTGAAAATAGAATAAGATACCCATTTAACTCAAGCAAAAGTTGGACAATGGCCCATCGTCACCTCCTGGAAACTTCATAGCCAAGTAGGGATAGATATTCCACGGGTTCTAATCTAATCCAATTTTGTCATTTCTTTCTTAAAATTTAATTTCGATTTGGATTGATTTTTTTTATGGATAGAGTTAGACCGAGTAAGATTTTGAATGAAAAATTCGATTCAATCTAAT